GTCTTGTGGCAGGTCTTCGTGTTGTTGTTTACGTTCAGATTTTTTTTCGTTGATGTGTCCCTAGCTTTTGTTATGGCGTTTTGAAATTTGTCAAATTAATTTTCTAGTGTGTGTATGTCCGTTATGTTCATGGTAATAATGATGTTTGAGTCTAGTGAACGTCTGTATTTTGTCCAGTCGGTAGTATTGTAATCCCCAGAATCCCTGTATTCTTGAATAATACACTCTAGAATAATTTAAGCTATTGAAGAAATTATATTACGTAATATACATTAGACATCTATAATAAAAGGTATTACTACCGACTGGATTGATATCATTGCTAATTGATAGCAATTGTCGATTATCTCATTGTTTGGTTTGTTAAGTTGGTAGCAATTGCAGTTCATCCACCTAAGTATACCTTACAAAGCTAACTCTTGTCATTCTATATCTAGACTGTCATTTATCTCGCACTACATTCTATTTCAGGTTATTATCTTCAATTTTTTTATTGCAGAACGATGTCACTCTTCGCCCAGACAGCACAAAGAAATCGTTAAGACGTCCATAAGATGTCTGTCAGAGACATGACAGACGTCTTATGACGCCGGCCAGACGTCTTAAAGACATCTTTAAGACGTCTGATGTTACAAAAGGTAACGTTCTTAAGACATCTTAAATATGTCTGTTTTTCGACATTGGTAAGACGTACTCTCGGATTTAGCTTTAAAAGCTTCTGTAAATTCCTTCTATACAAAATAAAACACATATTTTCTAAAAACATTATTATTAACAAAACACTAAAACATTTCGTTAAAAAAAAATTAATATTACAAATTATTATTTTTTGGATTCTTCCTCGTTAGTGGTTAATCTTCTGTCTGATGCTCTTTTGAGCCAGTCTGGATTGCAATAATTTTAACTGCGCTGTGTAAAATATTATGCATTACAGTTCATCAAATTTCTAGAGGTGTTCGACGCCCAGACAGAGAACGCGCTACGTGTGACTAAGATAGCTATTGTACAGTCTGCTAAACAAGTTATTTTAAATAGTTTTTAATATTTTTAGGTAATTAAATTTTAAAAGTGTGGAATAGTTTAGGGATTAAATTGGTCTGATTGGACTTTCTTAGAACGTTTTTAAAAACAGCTAAAGATAGTATGTAGAATTGAAAATAATTATTATGCCATAAAAGGTGTTTTGGAATTCCTTCAACCTTTTGAAATTGAGTCAGAAAATATAAATTTTATAGGATAGCGGAAAATAGCTATAATTTTTTTGTAGGCCTTTGTAAATCGTGGAAATAGTTTATATTTTATTTCTACCTTATTAAGGAAAATGGTACCTATTATTAATAACGGTTGTTTCTAAAACATTACTAAAATTTTCGAAATTTTGTTTTTCTACAAAATAATAAACTATACTATTTAGAAAAAAATTTATTTCTCTTATAATTTTATAAAAAATAACAGGGGAATATTTACATTTCTTGATCTATTAAACAAAACGATAAATTATCTCGACGAATGACACCATGTTCTAGTACGGAAGCTAGCTTTACATTTTTGTTGGTGGTTTCATGGGTTTCATATCAATTTTTTGTAATTGTAGTTTACACGTACATATACCTCTTAACACTTGTTTGCTTTATTAAAAAAGTGTGTTATTGTGATTTACGTCGAAATAAGTCAAAAACAACTTGAAAGCCCATATAAAATCAAAAAGGAGAAACGGAAAAAAATTGAGCCTGTAAATGAACACAACTCAGAAACAAAAATAGCTATCTAATAATAAAAAAATAAAATTTGATTCTTGTGCATCTTCGTTGTAAAAATAGATAATACTTTTTTGATCTTAGATACAGATATAATTTTAATGGTCTTCCGAAAAACGTTCTTCAGTTTCCATATCAGATTCAAAATCAGTCACTGTTTAAGTTAATTATAAATCTATCAGTTGCCTCATCCAAAGTAACTTCTCTGTCATAAAATTTAGATTCCCACATTTTAGCATTATTACAACGAGATTGCCACTCCTCTTTAGAAAACGTATCAAAAAAGTCTTCACACAACAGTTGTACGTCTTGCCTCTTAAATGTAGTGTTGTTACTAGCTACATATTGTTTCAATGATGCCCACACTAATTCGATCGGATTAAGATCGGGATGATACGGTGGCAAACGCAAACAACTAAAACCATGTTCATTTATCATTTCTTCAATTGCATACCTCTTAAATCGTGACTTATGCAATAGCACTAAACTGTATAATTGCGTTTTGAGCATATCCTCTTCGTAAGCAATATTATGATTCCTTAACCAATCCTGCATGTCAGCTTTTTTAGAAGTTGACGTTGGTGCTTTATTTACCTGGACATTATGGTAAGGAGCATTATCAACAATAATGACGTTTCTTGGTGGGAGGTTCGGAAACAGCTTTTCTTTCAACCATTTAGAAAAATTATTAAAATTCATTTCATCGTGGTAGTCTCCACTTTAGGTTCCAGATTTGAAAATTAACCGGGCATTCGGAATAAAGCCCATTTCACCTTCTGCATGGACAATAATTAGTCTATCACCTTTATTAATTGGTTTCTTTAATCCCTCATTTAAATTATCACTCCAAGCTTTCTGGTGTGTGTGGGAGGCATGAATGTATGTTTCATCTAAGTAGACAATTGGACGGCCCTCTGCTCGATAACTTTTTAAACGAATCAGATAGTCTAAACGTAGCTTTTGAATATCAAACCTTTCCATTAATATTTTTCTGTTTGTTTTTGTTTTCCGCCAACGAAATCCTAGCGACTTTATTATTTTTCTTAAACTTTCATAGCTTCCTTTGTACCCTGTAGCTTCTCTAAATTTAGTCAGAATTGTTTTTAATGTTGGAACAATATTTTCCGAGATTAACATGAACAGAATAATTCTTTTTAAAATACCTTTGTCAGCTTCATCTATATCATTAACTGTTTTTGGTTTTTTAATGGTTTTTCTTGGTGATGAAAATTCCGATATCTCACGGTTATCGATTCTTTTTTTCTCTCCAGAAATGCGGACGACAGTGTTTTTAGATACTCCTGTGGCTGCAGCAACACGATCATTTACATTTTTAAATGGTATTGAAGGTGAATTAAAGTTTCCTTCTCTTCTCATAAACTCTATAACATTGGCTATTATTTCGCGAGATTGACTGTTAATCACGCGGCCTCTTAATTTGCTATTAAACTCCATACTTAGGTTCTATTAAACTGTAATGAGCAAAAAACAAACGAAAATAAAAGAAATGTTTTAGCGAAATTTACATCTGACATTTACGTCTGAATAAAATAGTGAAATACTTGATGCGCAGAGTGTACTTTCATTGCGTAAATCCGTCGGCTCCGCCAACCGATGCCTCTCAGTAGTGCTTTCTCTGTCTAGCCGTCGAAAGCCTCTAGAAATTTGATGAACTGTATATACATCACTCTGTCAAATTCGCTTTAATAGGATTTTCAGTAGATAGTGTGGGGGTCAAAGAATGGCAATCTTTCTGTACTTTCAACTCTAATTCAGATATATTTACATCCGATGAAGCTAAGTCAGCCCTAGACGTACTTAAAACACTAATAAGACTTCTTCTATTTGGTTTTTCAGTATATGCAGTAAACTTTTATGCTTATATTCACAGTAATCCACGGCACAAGACACAAATAAAAAAATCAACGAATAACGAACAAAAACTAACCTCTCGGCTTTCATCTGCAACATCAACGCAAATGACAACGAATGGACAACAACGCAGAACGCGACGAACCACGGAACCCCAATAATACTCACATTCAGATACACGTCCTTGTTTAAATTCTACTGTTGAAATAAGACAAAGCATAATTAAAACATTCGCTTCGATCGTTGAACCAAGTTGAAAGAGCGCGTAATTCAATTTGTCTTATGTTTTAATTGTTAATTTTATTAAAGTTATATTTATTATTATTATGTTTATGTTATCAAATATTTACTTTAATGAACAAATGCTCGTGAATAAATGAAAAAAAAAATAAGTAAATTTTGTAAATTAATAAAAAAATTTAAAAATAAATTTATATTTTGTGAAATTAGTAAGCCAGTACTTTTTTAATGTTAACATTATTTTTTATATTTTTTAAATAGATAGGCATTTAAAAGACGTCTTTAAGACGTCTATTTATGTGTCCTAAAAGACGTCTTTATAAAGACGTCTTTAAAACGTCTTTTTTAGGTCTTTAGGCGTTCAGTCATAACTACGACATAAAACAGACGTCTTTAAGATGTCGTGTGCTGTCTGGGCGCGGATTTGGTCCGATACGTCGCGAGTTTTCTTGGGTTGCTAACCCTGAGTTACGATTAGGCGGTAGTCCAGGAGGGGCTTCAGGAATGTCAAAAGGGGTGTAAGAGGATAAAAAGGGCATTGAAAACATCTAAAACCATTGTCGAGAGACATCACCTGGAAGCGTGCCTCAGGAATATTAAGACCTACCGCAATCAACTTAAAGCAGCGCAGAAGCAGGGGGTAGAAAGGAGACTGCTCGGGATCGAATTCGCTGGGATGATTTGACATCTGCATTTGACTCCAGAATTCGAACCGGCGTTCTCACAAATTTGAAACATAAGGACCCCATTTCTTTTTTGAAAGATAGTAAGACCTTATTTAAAATACGAATCCGAAACGCGTTAGAGAAGGATGAGGCTGTTAATAAGTCAACGCAGCTTTCGGGGGAGAGTTTGAGGTGGTGAAGGGAGACAGTGTGCAGACTGAGCACAAGTACTTCACTACCTCAAATTCACCAATCTACAGGGACACGGATTTGGATACGTGGTTTGATGAGAAAGTTATTGCTAGTATAATGAATGAGCTTGAGGAGTTTCAGGAACGTGACAGAGGCTGGGCATTGAAGAAAGTGTTAAATTTAGGGGTTAATATTAACAAGTTTACACCCCAACTTGGATCCTCCTATGTCGAGCTGCCTCCTCAAATTACAAATAAAAAAGCATGCGTGAAAGTTAAGAACGATGATCAGGCGTGTTTTGCTTGGGCCATTACATCTGCTTTATATCCTATACATAAAAATTCTGATAGAATTTCTTCATACCCACATTACTCCACAGTCCTGAAACTGAAAGGGATCCAGTTCCCCATGACAGCCAAGCAGATCCCTAATTTCGAGCGTCAGAATGATGTATCTGTTAACGTTTATATCCTACAAAAAGAAAAAAGTCGTTTGCCACATTACCAACTTACCTTACAAAGGATAAAGAAGATCGACATGTGAACTTGCTCCTGGTTCAAGATCGTTATGATGATGCTCCTACAACATACCATTATGTGTGGATAAAAAGCCTCTCCAGACTACTATCGAAACAGCTTAGCAAAGAAGATGGTCGGAAGTTCTTTTGTGATCGATGCCTCCACTACTTTCGATCGCAAGAAAAGCTCGACAAACATCTTGAGGACTGCAAGAAGTTTAATGAGACTGCGATCAAGATGCCTGAACCTGGAAAAAACATCCTCAGGTTCAAGAACTATAATAATAAAGAAAAGACCCCTTTCATTGTATATGCCGATTTAGAGAGCGTTCTAAGACCCACCAACGATCTTAAGAAACCACAGGAATACGTGCCGGCGGCTGTAGGGTATTATGTTAAGTGCAGTTATGATGATACCCTCTCTTATTACAAGGCACATCGGGGTGCTGACTGTATGCAGTGGTTTGCTGAGGAGATGGCTCAACTTGCAGAGGACATGGCTACCGTGTTTTGGTGTCCTTATGATATTAATATGACACCTTCTCAGGAAGATGAGTTTCGAAAAGCCACTCATTGTCATATATGCGAGGAACCATTCGGACCTGAAGATAAGAAAGTGTGCGATCATGTTCATTTAATCCCCGAAAACAACTACCGCGGAGCAGCACATGAAGGGTGTAATATAAATTACAAAGACACTCAGATTGTGCCGATTGTCTTTCACAATTTATCAGGATATGATGCACACTTTATCATTACAGATATTGCCACACGAATGTAGGGAACTATTGATCTACTTCCCATTACTAAAGAGAAGTATATCTCCTTTACTAAACACGTTGATGAGTATCCGATCCAGTTTAGATTTATTGATAGTTTCCGGTTCATGGCTTCTTCTTTGGATAAGCTTGCTTCATACTTACCGGAGCATCCAAATTTTAACTCGCAGTTCAACGACCTACCTGAGGAACAGTTTATTCTGTTAACAAAGAAAGGGGTAATGCCATACGACCACATTGATAGTTTTGAGCGATTTAATAAAACCTGCTTACCATCCATTGAATCATTTTACAATAAGTTGCAAGATAAGCCCTGTCCCCGCCGCTTATATCGACGAGCACATGAAATATGGTCTAATTTTAACTATCATAACCTCGGAGAATATGTCGACCTCTATATGAAGACAGATATTATGCTGCTTGCGGACATATTTGAGCGGTTTCGCGCTAGCTGTCACAATACATATGGTCTGGACCCTGCCCACTATTATACTCTGCCAGGCTTCACGTGGGATGCCATGATGAAACATACAGGTCAAGAACTGGAACTGCTGACTGATGTTGATATGTTTTTGTTTGTTGAGCGAGGCATTCGAGGAGGTCTTAGTCAAGTCTGCTCCAAAAGGCGAGCCCATGCAAACAATCAGTACATCAATAATTACGACCCCAGTAAGCCCAGATCGTTCCTTATGTACTTTGACGTTAACAACCAGCCAGTATCTGCCATATGGAGGTTTTGAATGGACAGACACCAACATCGATGTCATGTCCATCCCTGATGACGCAGCTGAAGGGTATATGTTGGAGGTAGATCTCGAGTATCCTGAACATCTACACGATCTTCATAAAGATCTACCTATCGACCTATCGACCTATCGACCCGAAGACTAGTAAGCCCCGTAGAACAACAAAGGAGCTTACCAAGTTGATGGCTACCCTTCAGCCTAAAACAAAATACGTAATCCATTACCGAGCCCTCAAACAAGCTTTATCCCACGGGTTGATACTTACCAAGATCCATCGTATGTTGAGATTTAAGCAGGCTCCATGGCTTAAAAGCTACATTGACCTCAACACGGAGCTGCGGAAGAAGGCTCAGAATGAGTTTGAGAAGAACCTCTATAAACTCATGAACAATGCTGTATTTGGTAAGACTATGGAGAATGTTCGCAAGAGGGTCAACATCCGGCTTCTAGCTGAGTGAAGCGGCAGGTATGGAGCAGAAGCGATGATTTCCAAACCAGAGTTCAAAAACTGCACCATTTTCAACGAGAATCTGGTTGCAGTGGAAATGAAGAAGTTACAGATCTGGCTCGACAAACCCATCTACGTTGGGCAGTCAATTCTCGATTTTGTGAAAACGACGATCTATAATTTCCATTATGGATATATGGTAGATGCCTTTCCTGATTGTTCCGTGTTATACACCGACACTGATTCCCTTATCTACGAGCTTCATCAAGACCCGTACGAAGTTATGAAGCGTGACTGTCATAAATACTTCGATACGTCAGACTATCCTGAGCAGAACATCTTAGCCATCCCTCAGGTCAACAAAAAAGTGCTTGGTATGATGAAGGATGAGAATAACGGGATCCCGATGACAGATTATGTAGGACTCAGGGCAAAATTATATTCCTTAAAAGTATTGGTAACGGATGATACTGTGCTGAAAATGCGCAAGGAGCTTGAGGAGAAGGAGTATGACGAGGAGGAAATTGAGGAAATGATAAGGAATTTTGGCGTGACGAAGAAGGCGAAAGGTGTGAAGTCATCGGTGGTTAAGACTAAGATCAATTTTGATTATTACATCGAATGTCTCGATAGCTGGTCGGCAAAGGTTATTAGTCAAAATTTAATTCGATCCTCCAAACATCAGGTTCATTCTATAGTGCTGGAAAAAATCGCCCTTTCACCCTTCGATGATAAACGTTATCTTATTCCAGAATCATACAGGACGCTGCCTTGGGGCCATTATTCGATACCCAGTGATATGGAGGTTGATGTGGACCCAAACTTTTAACACGTAACATTTTCAAATTAATATTTTTTTAGTTAGTATATTTTCTTTTAATTATAACTTTTATACCAAACTCTTGTACCAATTCTCTTGTACGTTAAATGCAATATCAACATTTTCACTCGCAAACAGGAATAGTTAAAAATGACATTATTAAGTCGATTAAAAAGATGCTAACTCCCAGCGGTAGCCTGAGCATAATCTAGAGCCGTTGAGATTGCCATTATACTTCCGTAGGTATCCTAGTCACACTCTAGAGTCGTTGAGGTTAGCATTATCATTTTCATACTTATTTGTTTACTTAACCAACATATTACAGTCCCTCTTGTGGTTTTGTTGGCTTATCGGGGAAGCTTTTCACATTAAAAAGCAACGCGCTATGAGTACTATCTCCTAATATTATTGGTAGTACTTATAATAGGTACTACCTATAATATTTAAGGTGGTGTGGAAACGTACTTTTTAAACTTAATCAAAAATTGTCGTTATTTTCATTAATTGTTTTTTCTTTTTTTAGATTACTCTACTAGAGGTATGCCAGACATAGAGGTGCTTAAGGAAAAAACGAGGAAGCTTTTCATAAAACAGAGTAGGGAATGGAAATTACTAGCAATTAAATAAAAAAAGTTGAACTACAGAGACAACTTATTGAGTTATTGTAAATATGATTACTGCTAAAATATATTTTTAAGAGAAAATATTTTTTTTATTGTCTAGTATAGACTTTACCCTATTACAAATAACTTTTCTACCTCGGCTACCTTATGTATGGTAGATGTTATGTGAAGCGTGTGACCGCCTCTTAAGGACAATGGGTAGTATATTTCTATGTATTGTAGATGATAGGTGAAGCGATGATATCATTTTCGATGATACATCGCATCTTTTCGGTTGTGGATGCTAACAACATTTTAATCGTTTGCTCTGTTCGAATCGGGCTCTTAGTTATTTATCGTCAACGAGAACTATCACTTGAATTTTTTAAATAATTTGTACGTTACCTATATGTCACACGCTAACATTTGATCGCTTTTGTTCGATGTAGCGGTGATACAACACTTCTTTTAGTTAGATGACAACATCGATGCGACATCATCGTTCTCCAACCGGCCAATTATTATTATTATTATTATTATTATTAGTTACGATTCGTTAACAAAACGAGAACTACCGCTTGAGCTTAGATGAAAAAAGTAACGGTCAGTGGGGAGTAGCTAGAATGTTTCAAATAATTTGTACGTTACCTATATGCAAAGACCTTTTGAATGATATATCACATTATATTTTTCTATACGTAAAGACCTTTTCAGCGATATGCCGTAGGATTTTTTCTATATGCATAGTGAGAGAAGTGGGGTAGCTAGATTTTTTTTTATAATTTTTACGCTACCTATACGTAAAGACCTTTTCAACGATATGCCACATGATATTTTTTCCTATGTATAAGTGGTGCTAGGTGGGAAGTGGGGGTAGCTAGAATTTTTTAAATAATTTTTACGTTACCTATACGTAGACGTTTTCATCGAGCTATCACAGACCGTGATTGGTATAGCCGTGGAGGGGGTAGTTCGCGGGGGATGAAAGGGGACAGTTGAAATTATTTTTGTGTAATCTATGCTTAAATCCCTTTTCACGAGGTATCGCACACTATATTTCGGCGATTTTTCAATGAGAGGGTGGTTCGCGGGGGATGAAAGGGGGCAGTTGAAATTTTTAAAATAATTTTAGTGTAATCTATGCTTAAAACCCTTTCCAACGAGGTATCACAAACTATGATTGATCGATTTTTCAATAAGGGGGTGGTTCGCGGGGATGAAAGGGGGCAGTTGGAATTTTTTCATTATTTTTTTCTTACTCTGTACGTTAAGACCTTTCCAACGAGGTATCACACACTATGATTGATCAATTTTTCAATGAGGGGGTGGTTCGCGGGGATGAAAGGGGGCGGTTGGAATTTTTTCATTATTTTTCCCTTACTCTGTACGTTAAGACCTTTCCAACGAGGTATCACACATTATGATTGATCGATTTTTCAATGAGGGGGTGGTTCGCGGGGATGAAAGGAGGCAGTTGGAATTTTTTAAATTATTTATATGTAATCTATGCTTAAAGCCCTTTGCAACGAGGTATCATATGATAGTAATTGATGCCTGATGATGGTGTGACCTTGAAAGCGACAAAAATTGCTATTTTGAACCTTAGCGATTTCCCATGTTAATTTACATAAGGAATGAGGCAGAACTGTTGCTGCCCCTTTACTCACATTGGCTAAATTCAAAGAATATTAAGTTCCATCCCGGTTCTGTGAGAAAAGAACTCTATCATTTGCGTTCCCTTCATAAAGAGAAATTCAAAAAATATGAAATTGATGAATTTGCAAAAAATCGTGGGATGACGGTGGTTAGATCACCACCATATCATTGCGAAGTAAACCCGATTGAACTGATATGGGTACAGATAAAGGGAGAAGTTTCAAGAAAAAATAATTCTTTTAAAATAAGTGATGTTAAACAGTTGTTTTTGGAGGCTGTAAATAATGTGTAACCATGAAAACTGGAAAAAGGCAGTAAATCATACGATTAAAGAAGAAGAGAAAATGTGGAAGTTGGACAATATTACTGATGAAATGATCGAGCCACTCATTGTAAATATTGGTTGCGACAGTTCATCTTCTGATTTCGATTCTGATTTGGATTTGTAGGTAAGAAGTAGTTTTTATATTAAAATTATTATTTATGAACGTAACGTTGTTTAAAAGTCAAAGTTTAAACCCTTATACCTACATAACCCGTTTGACACAATGTTCTTAACATACTTTGTGGAAAAATAAAACATTTTAGAAAAAATTGCACTTTTTTACCTTCAGCTGTTTAGAAGTTATAAGCAGATTAATTAGGTGAAAATATAAGTATATAATCGAGGAATAACTTCAAAAAATATTTTAACTGTCTACTAAAAGAAGTGATACGCCTATGGATTACG